GGTGGGCGGCACTCTGCCCCCACCTTGGTGCATTGGGGACCAGCTCCGCAAGAAACCCCATCCAGGGCACCCCAGACACGGTGCTCCCCTCTCGGGCTCCCATGTCTGCCCCCACCCCGCTTGTCCTCCACCTCAGCTTGCTCCCTCTGCACCCCTTTTTAATTCCCCTATTGGGTTCCCGGCTCCTTTGACACAGAGATGGATATTAGATAGACAATCTGTCGACCCTGTACTGATCTACGATATGTCCGTAGGAAAAAAAAAACCAAGCTTCTCCTGGTTGGTGAAGGGGGGGGTAGAGGGAGAGGGAAGGAGGGAGGGGGAGAGAGAGAGAGAGAGAGAGAGAGAGAGAGAGAGAGAGGGGGGGGGGGGAGGAAAAGAGGAGAAATAAAAGCCAGAAAGAAAACAGCCAGGTTGAATTCCCAGTCTTTATCAAGCAATTCGCTCACCCACAGAAAGCTGCAATTGCAAAGCCTAGCCACATGCGGTAGTGTGTAGCAATTAGTAGATAAACTGCTGACTTAAGAACTAAAACATGAAGTATTATTGAAGCCAAGGTCAAAAAAATACTTTAGTTCTTTTGCAATTGGGGTTTGGGGGTGGGTAGCGGCACGGGGAGGGGGGAGTTGGTGGAGGAAAAGGTCTGCGTTTTCGAAATGAACGCCCTGTTTCCTCACACTGTACTTTTTTTTTTTTTGGTATTTTATGATCGTGTTTATTATAGCCAGAGCTGCCTGATGACTCTATGCTGCTTTTGTAACTAAGTAATCTGCTTAATCCTTTTATGAAGAGGTTCCTAGAGATGCTGAATACCACCCCCAGCCCCTAGAGCTAGGGGAGGGGGTCCATGATTTCCCATTTATTTATTTGGTTGTTAAAGAAACCAAAGAACTTAAAACAGAGAGAGGAAGGATTTGGGCTGCCAGAGCACCCATAGAGGCGTGTGGGTACAGGTTACTGCATTTCAGGACAGGAAACAGCCCGGCAATAGTGGTTGGTGGAGGTGGGGGGGGGGCCTGGTGGTGAAAGGAGGGGGAGTAAAATATACACACTATTTCCCTCCTTTTGATACCCAGCAAGTCCTTGCTATAAGCTTTTTTTCTTTAAATAGATAAATAAGGCAGTTGTTTTCATGATTATAACTGTCCTGAATGGATTGTCTTCCTACAACATTCAATCTGTTTATGAGTATTTACTTTACATTAGCAGAGAGACCCCGCACTGCAGGAGTTGGCTTCTTTTCCCCTGGGTGTCACTGTCTGAAGTCTTACATCTGCTCTGTGATTGATAGAGCCTTGAATCCACGTTATTACTCTCTCACAAGCAGAAATCAAACAGACTATTAACTACATTACTTCAAAGAACAGTTTCAATACAATCTACTTATCTTAATTGAAACTTTCTTTGTATGGATATTTGCTGCACAGATAATTTACAGGTGCCTTGGCAAGCCTCACGTTAAGAACAGGCAAAATAAAGGGTGGGTTTAAAAAAAGATTTTTTTTTTTGGTCTGTGTCTCTGTGTGCTTTACGAACATTTGTGATCTGTAATTTTTAAAGCTATTTATAGAATTGGACAAAAGGGTTGATATATTACATTTATTATGGGGGGCAGTGTACAGGGGGAGGGAGTCCCCCCCCACTCAGTTTTCGAATCTAGTATTCATCTGATTACAGGACTGCAGCTCTTCAGTACATTCAAACCAAGCTCCCCTGCAATGATTAGGCTCTCAAAAACTTGTGGGGGGTTTTTTTGGGGGGGGTTGGATAGAGGGGGAGTTACACAGCTTCCAAATAAGTGAAGCTCCTATTTTTATATAATTGGCCAAATTGTTTCTGTTAAAAGTCTCTTATGGAGGATAACATCAAACAAAACACAAGTTGCTCAGCTGCTATTAAAAAAAAGGGCTGTGTATTTTTTTTAAGGAGGGAGAGAGAGAGAGAGAGAGAGAGAGAGAGAGAGAGAGAGAGTGAGAGAGAGAGAGAGAAGAGGGAGGTTTAATATACAATAGAGGGATGCCCTGAGGCACTCTGCTGAGCCTTCCTGCATAAATGCTGCCGCTTTGGTCTTACAGGAAACTGACTCAGAGTCCATCTCAAATATGATCTTGTCAAAATACTGCAACTCCAGTTTTTTAAAACAGAATTTCTTGAACTGGACGTATATATTTACGCCAACAGGGCAGAGAGCCTAACCCATGTATCTATCAGGCGTCTTTAATGTTCCAGAAATGTGTAAAATGCCTTTCAGTCATGTCCGTCCATCTGTAAAAAATTTTTAAATATGAAAAAATAAATAAAATGGGTTAGTCTAATCAAACATACGCAGGACGTACTGTATCATAAAGTGAGGTGGGGGGGAGGGAAATGAGCTGTAATTCCTCTTTGCAACCCACGTTGATGAAATAGGAAGATCAGATGAAATTTCAAGAAAGATAATTAAAGAGTGAGGCGAAAGGCGTAATTTGGCTAATGCAGAAGATGGGGAGCCTGCAAATTGCTACATTGTCTCCCTGCACTCTGCAGAGTTGTGATATTTAAATTATTAAAATAGTTTTCGACAGCTTTCAGGATCCCGGCTCTCTTTGGCATGGGCTTTTATTACTTAGTGTAATTTGACGATCTGCCATTTTCTCTCGTTTATCTCAGGGTATAGAGAAACGAGATAGATCTTGCCTATATTACTTCCCCATGCTCTGAATCAAAAATGTGGTTTAGATCACGTTAAGTGCCCTAATTCTTACTGCAGTGGACGCATACATTATGAAAATGCATCAAAATACATGTAGGGGCTCTCCCCACCTCCAGCCTCGAGTCTCAGACATTTGTTCTCTGCCGAGTGTATTAACTTCAGCCATGTGAATGTAATTTTTTATTAAAGTAATCCTGTTTCAACTAGATGCTAAGACTAGAGGTGAAACGTTGCGAAAGCGTTAAAAATAGCTTACTAGTAATTTCAACATCCTGTAATTTTATCACAGATCAAGTTTCAACTGTCATACTATACAGACCTTATTCCCCATATATTACATGTTTACTTTTTAACATGCCAGACCTACTTTAGTAGGATTGTTGCCAATATAATAAAATTGGAGGGGGGTGGGGGAGAGCTGGCGGGGGGGGGGGGGGGGGGGGGGGGAGGGGGGGGGGGGGGGGGGGTGGGCGGGCGGCGAGAGTATACCATTTTACATCACCACTGCGAAAATGTAAGCTAGACACTTAGAACCCCGGCAGCTGGATCGGAGCTGGGCTATGCAGTCAGTCTCTCTGCCTGTTCCTTGTTCCGACGCTCTTAAGTTTCTCTGTGTTTGCATAATAACCCTGAATGCAAACCTCCCAGTGCTCCAGGGCTCCAGAACAATAAATATACGCATTTAAAGCCTTTATTGTCTCACGGTTCGTGCCCCCGGTTTTAAACAGCTTAATTTCTAGTTGTATTTAACTAGTTTGCAAATGGATTCCCCCCCCCCCCCCCCTTCCAACTATTACCCGGAGGAAGACCCCCCTCCTCCTCCCCCTCCCTCCTTCTCCCCTCCCCTCCCTTTCCCTTCTGTCTTTTGGGAGGGGGTGAGGGATGTGTGTGTGAGAGAGAGAGTTAGTATATTATGGCTGTAGCACTGGGTTATATAAACACATTATCATTTGAGAGCGCCCTTGGCGTCCATCAGCATTGTAAACACGTCCTAGTGTATATACTTTAAAATTAAAGAATGCACACGCAGAACCGGGAGCCTGGATTCCTGTTCTGAGCAGACCCACTGCTCGCGTTTATTGATTTATCATGCACCGTTTATTGTTTCAGTCCCTAAAAGCAGTCGGTGTCCGTTCAATATTGTTTGGGGGAGAAAAAACACCCAACAACAACAACAAATAAAAGAAAAATCCCGTGGATGTGTGTGTGTGTGTGTGTGTGTGCACACTGGGTTCACTTGCCTTTCCCTGTGTGTGCTTTTCCCGAGTGTTTTTTTTTTTTTGCAAAGCGAACAAATGCATTAATATTTATATGTTTATATAATCGATAACCCACTTTTCCCTTCCGTGTAAATAGGCATCAAAAGATAATTTAACAGATTAGTTCTTGAAAACATGGCAGTGAGGAAGCGTAATTTAACTATCAAACAAATCTACATGTCTAATAAAATCAGATCTGCTAAAGAGCGGCGGGCGCCCCTGAATCTCTGCAGGAAACGTTCTTTATATTAGACATATATAAGCAGGTCCTGGCAGATGCATGAACGAGCACCACCACACTCGGCCCCCCAAAAAAGAGAAACCGCGGGGTGCGAGCCCCCATTTCCATTTACAGGAAACCCCATGCAAGGCGGACGCAGATTTGGGGGGTCGTTTATTTTTCTTAGGGCCGGGACACGCATTTTGCCTTGATCCATCCGCTCTGTCCCCCGTCTCCAACCCAGTCTCTTTCGAGATTGTGAATTTGATCACCGGCTCTTCGGGGCAGAGCTGGGTCTTTGGGCCACCCGGGGAAAGTTGGGGGGCCGGAGAAATATTAGGAACCCTTTTTGGTAATTTTGGTGGAGGCAGGGAGGGGTGGGCTTGATTTTATATTGAGACGCCGAGCCTGCTAGAGGGCGAGAATGCTTTTCCCTGCCAGGACCTGATGCAATCCATTCAAGCCAACAAGTTTGGAGAGAATGTTGAGTTCAATCAATTCAGAACGTCGAGATGGAGCTCAGCTCACTCCAGGTATTTTGCTCGGCTCCGCTCCCCCGGCCCCCGGCCGCCCCGCCGCCCCCCGGCCCGCAGCCCGCCCGCACCCCTACACCCCCCCGGAGCCCCCCACAAACTTTCCACCAAACTTTTGCCCTCTGCAGCTCCCCAAATCATTTTTATTGTTTTCCCAAAATTCCTGCACACATTCTACATACATATTTAATTTTACCTTCTGGGATGGGGGTGGGGGGGGTGGAGAGGGGCTGAAAAAGGGGGAGGGGGTGTGGGTGGGGGTTTTAGGGGAGGCCGATATTGTGTGTAATCTCGATATATTTTTCCACCCAGCTAATATCTGATGGGTGACTCTGTATGTGTGTGCCTGTGTGTGTAAGCGTGAGTGTGTGTCTATCTCTGTGTATGCGGAACGATGATTGTCTTATTTACACGATTGTTTTCTCCCCTGCAGTGGGTCGGCTCTCCGTGTGGCTTGCACGGACCGTACATTTTCTACAAGGCTTTTCAGTTCCACCTTGAAGGCAGACCAAGAATTTTGTCCCTTGGCGACTTTTTCTTTGTAAGATGTAAGCCAAAGGATCCGATTTGCATAGCCGAGCTGCAGCTGTTGTGGGAAGAGAGGACTAGCCGACAACTTTTATCCAGCTCCAAACTTTATTTCCTCCCAGAAGACACTCCCCAGGGCAGGAATAGCGACCATGGCGAGGTGGTAAACCTATCTCTTGTCTCTCTTTTCTGTTATTTTTCTAGTAACGCTTATTACAGGGCGAGCTTGAAATATACTGTATGTGTTCACTTCTGCAGGGAGCGGCGTGGTCGAGCCTTTTTTTTTAAAGGGGTAGCGCCACTCTCTGGGGCTGGAGCGATTTTTTTTTTTTTTTTTTTTTTTGCCGTTGTCAGAGTTTTTTGGCTGTCAGCTTTACAAAGAAGGTCCAACTGCTGATTTTCCAGTAATGATCAAATAACTTGTTGGAGAGGGGGTTTGTTGGAGGAGTGTGTGTGTGTGTGTGTGTGTGTGTGTCTGTTAGTGCCCTGGCTGCTGCTTGCTGTCTGAACGTCACATGCTTTTTGTATTTTTGCTGAGATCTCTCCCTGTCTCCTGGTCTCCCCTCTCCCTTCCCCTCCTCTCTTTCCTCCCAGCCTCTCTCTGTATGTATTACCTTGGTGTCTGGCTCAGCCAGGGCTGGGTGGATTTCTGTTCGGTGGGTTTCGATATTCACGTTTCTTTTTCTTTCTTTCTTTCTTCTTTTTTTTTTAATATTTGATATGTTTAAGAGGGCGGAAATTACGAAATGGAGGGCTGAGTTGGGATCAAAAGCTATTGAGCTGGCAAAGACGTGTTGAATAAAGTGATAAATGACAGGTACTGGGATAATACATTCAAATAACTTGCAGGTCTGCCTGGGCGTATTTCAAAGCAGTCGAGTAACCCGCACAAACACGTTAAGCATTAACAACTATCTCTCCCTCTCCTCTCCGCCCCCCCCCCGCCCCGCACTGCACCCCACCCCCTCCCGTCCCCTCCTCCCCTCCCCCCTCCGCGAGCTATTGCCTGGACTCCCTTTAAATGACTCCACGAAAAGTGGCCCTTTTCCAAAAAGGAGATTGGGGTGGGGGGGGAGTGAGGAGGAGGTGGGGGAGCGGTGTGTGACTCTCACACTAACCCTGAAAGTCCAGTCATTTCCTCTCCCAGACGGTCGCCCTGGTGAAGAGTGGGGGTGCCTGTAGGTAGGGAGAAGAGCCTCTCGTCACGTTTTTTCCTCGGGTGCAGGAATGGGCCACCCCCGGGAGCCAGACCTGGCCCCAGCGGTGACCGGTCCCGATCCCTGGGAGGACATGGCCAGTCCCGATGTCTGGGCTCGGCCGCCTCCCGCCCAGCCTGCCACCTTCCCGAGCTGTAATTGCACGGGTGACCGCAGTTCTGCGGGCTTCTGGCGTCAGCTGCTTCCCCGCCCGCCCGCCTGCCCGCCTGCCTGCCTGCCTGCGTGCCTGCGCCGGGTGACTGCTGGGGAGCTATTTTGGTGTTGATGGTGTACCCGCAGCGCGATGGGCAATACGACTGACTGACGGCCTGGCGAGTTACTGCTGCTGCTGCTGTTGTTCTAAGTGAAAGAAAGGTCAGGGCAATCAGATTGTGGCTGAAAGCAACTAACTAACCGGGGGGCAGGCAGGCGCCCGAGGTGCGAGGTAGGTGTAAGGCTCGGATATTAATGGGTCCCCATTAACTCCTCCTAGAGAGAGCGCTGGCCAGTCCCTTCAGCATTCCTGAGTCTGCCGGAGTAATTGTACTTTTCTAAGACGCCACCCCCCCCCCCCCAGTATCCAATTACCCTTCAGTATTATATGTTTGTTAATTACTGTAGTTTGTCCAGTGTTTGCCCTACGATTTGCCTGTTCTGAAACAGGAATCCCTCCCCTTCACTCCCTCCCCATGGTCCACTTTTTTGTCCTAACTGTCCATATTGTCTGGTGTCTGTCAGCAATTTAAGAAACGATGTTTGGGAACGTGGAGCCAACCTTGAAATCCACCTACAGGTTGATCCCTCCCCTCTCTCGATCTCCCTCTGTCCCCTCCCCCTGTCCAACTTTTCTGTGCAGCTGTCTCCCTCCCTTTCCCCTTTCCCCTCCCCCTCCCGATTCCTTATTATTTGCTTTTCAAATTTATTACTTCAACATGGCCTGTGATCTGGAAAAAGGGAAGGATTAAATATCCAGAAAAAAGAACTGGAGTCTAATAGACTTCTGACTAAACCCGAGAGGAAATTATTCAGTGTTTTACGGGATATTTTGTGGTCACCTTCGAAATTGGAATTGCGATCTTTTTAAAGACTTGGTGTTGACCCCACTATGGTACAGGTTTTAATTTCTGTTTGGCTGATTCAATGGAGAGGCTTAGCTTGCGGGTGAAAAATAGAGCAGCTGAAGGTTTGAATTTGCTTTAAAAAAAAAAAACTGCTGACAGTGACTATTTAAAAAAAAAACACCACCCTACTTTTTCTTTGTTTATTAGAGGGAAATGAGCCATTTTAATGATCAGCTCGTGTTGTTACTGTGAGACACCTTACCTGAGAAAATTAATCTTACCATTTAAAGGAAAACTGGGAGGGGGGAAGAGAAGAGGGGAGATGACTCTATTTATAATTCTCAGCTGCATATACGTCCTCTAATATTATGCATGATTTGTTTTTTAATGCTAACATGGCTGGTAATTAGCTGTATGATTATGCTTGTATATTTCATTAGGACCTCAGCTGATGTCATTGTGAATTATCCAGCCATATTAAAACAATTTTCAGTCGCAAATAATGACACGCCTTAAAATTATGCAAATGTGGGTTGCATTGTGTATAATAATTATGAAAAATGTTAGAGCAGGTAGAAAGTTTCCCAATGCGGATCGGTTTTCCACCCTGGTGATGTCATTTCCCCCCTGGCCTAAGTTAGTCATTCATTAGCAGACTAGCAGCAGCAGCAGCAGACGCAGCAGCAGCAGCAGCAGCAGCAGCAGCGAGAGCTCATGCTTCTTTGGCTGAGAGCCTACAGAAACTGGCACTGAGAGCCAGGACCTAGAGAGGGCAACATCACACTCCCATTAACAAATGTACTTTATTTTCACTTACTCCATTAACTTGTTTATATACATTGAAATGATTTTTATTATTGATGTTAAATAGTTCTGAATGATAAATTTGGTGTTTAAATGGGTAACGAAAATGAAAAGCTTCTTAGTGATTTATACTTTGTTACTTAAGGAAAACATTTAGTACTTTTAATCAGCAGAGCACAGTTTATTTTAAGTAACTCGGTGGAGGGTAATAATTCCTTTATGTAACTGACATTAGCATCTATTCCTAAAGGACACTTAGGGCTAGTTTTGGGCTAGGGTTTCGTTTGTTTGCTTGTTTCTTGTTTCCTTAATGGAAACACCCTGTTATCTTTGTTAGACTTCTGGAAATATAGAGATATTTGTTGCAAGACTTGGCAGATCGCAGTTGTTAGAGAGAAAGCTATTCCCCATAGCTCCACATTGTATATATCATATTATGGAAGCTTGTAATCTTGTACGTTTCACAATTGTCAGTGTGCTGTGTCAAAGGTCATTTGGTGCTGGGTATGAGTAACATGGTTGGTTAGCGGACCAATTGTCTCTATCCTAAGAGTTCAGCTAAGAGCTAGTCTGAGGTTCCCATGGACAACAATAACATGTAGTAATTATTGTAATACCTCGTGTGTGTGTGTACTCCATGTTACCTCCAAAGAGCAAAAAGCTTCATTTGTAGGCATGTTTGTAAATGATGGCCAATGTAAGAGCCATTAATGCAGCCAATCATACAATTTTTTTCTCCATAATCATTGCCAAAGGAATGGATGGCAGTCCAGTGCCCAGAAGGGGTTAAATTTTATCGATAATTTCTCACAATTGAAACTTTCAGCCATTTGCTTTTCAGAGAAGGAAAATGGCAAAGTAGGCGGGCAACAGTTTTGTTACTTGGTAACTTCTGATGACATTTATTTTCAAGTTGCCGAGTGCTTAGCTTCGTTTAATGGCAATTTTATAGCCTCTTGAAATAGGCTTGCAGACAACTCTCAGGTTCCTATTTAAGCCTGGCCAGCAGTATGCCTGGTCCTGAGGGTGGGGGGAAAGAAAAGGCATGCTGATGGACTGCCTCTCTTTGGATAAGGATTAGCAAAGTAATGTTTCTGAAGAGCTTAGAGTTTGGGTGTCCTACTAATAAGGGAGAATTTGGGTTCGAATTAATAGGTTTATTTTGCCATCATCTGGTCTAACCCCCTCATTTTACTGAGAAAGAAACTGAGGTTTGAGGGAATAAGTAATTTACCCAGGATTGGTACAGATTTGGGAACATGATACAGAGGAAAGAGCACCTGCCCAAGAGCAATAAAATCAGGGTTTAAATCATGTACCTCACAGTTATTGCTTATGTCATCTTGGACAAATTCCTTATCCCCCGTTTCCTATCCGTAAAATAAGGGGACTGTACTAGATATTCTCTGAGATGCCTTGTTGTTTAGTCACGTCTGACTCTCTGTGACCCCCATTTGGGGTTTTCTTGGCAAAAAATCCTGGAGTGGTTTGCCATTTCCTTCTCTAGCTCATTTTATAGATGAGGGAACTGAGGCAAACAGGTTTCAGTGACTTGCCCAGGGTCACACAGCTAGTAAGTATCTGAGGCCAAATTTGAACTCAGGAAGATGAGTCTTCCTGACTCCAGGCCCAGCACTGTATCGACTATACACCTAACTTCGCACCTGATGTCCTCTACCTGCTCCTGATCTGTGATACTCTCTAAGCAGCTGAGCCAAAATTCCAACCTAGCTTCTCAAACTTTAGATCCAAGGCTTCCCAGAGCCAATCAGGCTCTGGCCCTAATGACAGCATTGGTACTCAACCCTTTGTGTGAGTCATCTACCATGGCAATGGCTTTTGCATTCCCACCAGCTGTCCTAAAATGTGCTTGCTTGCCTCTGCTTTTCCCTAATGTGGTATTATCTCCATGATTCCAGAATATATAGTCAATTCTGGAAGAAATTGAGACTGTGGTTACCTAGTTGTTCGGTCTACATTTACAAAACTGTGATGTCAAACATCCACATTAACTCAATTTTCAGTAGGAGAGCTAAAGTTGACTATGAGATTGGAGTTGTCTAGACAGGGCCCAAATGAAAAAGAAGAGGTATTTGTGC